CTGTCGGTGCCGGTATGCTCTCCACCTTTGACGTCAACACCGGCCCTGCCCACTGGATCGGCTACCAGATCCTCTTTGGTATCGGTGTCGGTCTCGGCATGCAGCAGACCATGGTTGCGATCCAAGCCTCCCTCGACGGCGCCGATGTGGCCATTGGAACCGCCATCATCATCTTCTCGCAGACTCTCGGTGGCGCCCTGTTCATCTGTGTTGCTCAAAATGTTTTCCAGAACAAACTTGTTTCCAACGTGGCCGATGCACACATCCAGGGCCTTGATCCAGCAAGCGTCGTTTCCGTTGGTGCCACCCAGATTCAGAATATGATTCCCAAGGAATTTTTGCCCGTTGTTCTCGAGGCCTACAACGGCGCCGTCACCAATACCTTTTACGTCTCCGCCGCCATGGCTGCTTTATCCATTATTGGATCCGCCTCTGTGCCGTGGAACTCTGTCAAGGGCAAGAAAATTGAGATGGCTGCTGCCTGAGCGCAGAAGCTATCCTGTGTATAATAGACGACTAGACACGGATCGGCGTTTACGGTGTATCATTTCTTCTTCTTTTAACCCATCAGTTGCTTCTTGGGTGCAAGGGGGGGTGTTCCACTCCATTGGATGATCAAGATAGAGTAAGAATCATATAGGCTCCTCTCTAATAGAGCATGAATACTTCTAGACTATATTCCTTGCTTCATGTTGCAAGTAATGTGCTTACACATGCTAACATTCTCCCTCCCAAGCTTCTCATGGAGCGACCACAACGGCCTCTTTATATAAGCCCTCTTCAAAATCTCGTGACAACATCAAGAATAATGGAGATAATGGGACGGAATATCTGGCCAGGCATCCACGCCGTCAAGGATAACCATCATCATCCCCCCCATCATGTGGTTTTGAATATGGCAATGTAGTAGCCACGCCCCGGGATTGGTCACATGGTACCGTACAACCACCCAATTCACGGCAGCTCTGGTTGGCATGGAGGTGAATGTATCCCGCTTCGGCGGATTCACGAGGTTGAATTGATCTGGCATCTCTCTCATAGCCCCCTCCACCGACGTCCATCGGAATGGGCCCGTTCCTGAACCAATCTGGTACATTTTGACGCCGTGTTTGTGAATGGGATGCGGTGGCATGGGGAATTCCGAGGCAAACAAGACAAGATCCACCCACGTATCGTTTTTCGTCGTGAGCATGGCATTTTTAAAATTTGTCGCATTTGGGCTGAAGAGAATCGGCTCAAGTGTCGTGTCCACCACTATAGGCTTGAGACCCGTCGTGTTCAATGCCCAGAGATACGACAACCCGTCCAACTTCATATGGAGCACATGGAGTGCGTCTGCCGTTTGGGCAACAGGATCGGCGGGGTATGGATAGGCAATCGTCTGGTTGAATACCACAACTCCAGGAAATGCCGGGTTGCCAACGAGATCAATGTACGGCTTTGGTTCTTGCGGGCTTGCAGCAACACCCGGCACGCGAAGAATTGCATTTCCGATAATGGTCTGCGGTGCACTGTTGGCATGAAACCGGATCTGAAAGTCCCCCGGCCTGGTCGGCTTAACCAAAACAGGGTACCTCTGGCCATTCGACATGCCGAGGGCTTGGACTTTTTGTGGCTCAATATACGATCCATCCATGGCGTACACCCACATGTCGTGGTCGTCAATGGCGACCACGCCGCTGACAAAGTTGATTGCGGCGACGACATCGAGGGCGAGCCATTCGTTTCGGCCAGGTAGATTCGCCCTGATCACTTCTGTGTGGCCATTCGTTTCTTCGCAGCCTTGATAAATGGGTGCCGGCATCGCACTTGCGTTGTATTTTGTGACATCGCCGGCAAAGGCAGCCAGGACAATAGGAGGCAGACAACTAAAGGTTCATCTATCAGCAAGAGTGTGAAACCTTGCGGCAGTCCCAATTGTAGTGTCGTCTTACCCCTTGTCGGTCAGCTTTTGGCCGGGTACCAAGGCCAGGTCAGCCTTTTGCGTAGGACTCAAGTGTGACATGAGTTCATCCTCTGGCAGGCACCTCACTCTTCCTTTTCCATTAAAGAGAATCGAGTCATAGCAAGTAATTTCGACGCCTGCTGCGGGTGTTATGTCCTCTTTCTCCCCCGAGGTGATGTGCATGTGGTCGTACACAATAAGTGGATGTACAGCCCGTTCGGCCCTTTCCATTCCCTCGATAGCACCTGGATCGTGGGATATCATATGGAATGGCTTCATGGTACCTGGCCTTGGGCGTATCAGGATGTGTCCATAGAGTCCGTCCTCAATTTGCCCCAGCGAGTGGGAATGGTACCAGTAACTTCCATACTGCGTGGCTCGGAAAGTATAGGTGAAGTTGCGCCCTGGAGCAATTGGACGCTGTGATACTCCCGGTACGCCGTCGGACCACGGGGTCTTGTCCATTTCAATTCCTTTTGGAAATACACGGTATTAATGCACTCGGAGCGTTGAATGGCTTCGGTTTGTGGGCACATACATACCGTGGAAGTGTACCGTTGTTCCAAATGGCGACTTGTTCCGTATGTTCACGACAACCCAATCGTCTTGCTCGACTTCAATGGCAGGTCCCGGGGATTTGCCATTGATCAGAAGCATTTGCTTTACCACACCATCTGGGGCATATTTTTGCCAAGTCACCGTCATGTCAAACACCTTGGCCCTGTTCCAGTCTGTCAGGTTGGGCAAGGCCCAAGCCACCAAGGGCGAAGCAATCGCTATGACTGGGAGTAAAAGCATCACGGGCCATTTCTAGCAGTCGCGAATACTCGGTATTTCTCCAGAGGGCGAGAGAAGGCCCTTTTGAACGAAGTCTTGGGGCGCATCCCCCCATATCTCGACAAGAGGTGTTTTACTCCCAAGAACCAACATTCCCATGTCGGGTGTGCTCTTCTCCTTTTCATCGTCTTCGTTTTCAGGGGGGCGGAAATATAGCGGGATGGTTGTCAACAAAGCCATTGGTCCAATTCCATGCTTGCGTCACAAAAATGTGAGTCGTTCATTTCCCGCTTCAACCTTCAGCTTGGATGGTTGTACCAACTAAGCAGATTCGGGATTGAAAAGTCGAGTGACGGCCCTTTAGAAAACAAACCCAAAAAAGACGGCCAATCATTTAACATGCAGAAAAGCGTACAATGGACCTTCATTCCGATTCGCGTCTGCCCGGTGCGCCACGTTCCATGCCCCAACTTGCATCGCGAGCATGAGCAGCCACTTGGTATGCGGTCAAGGGCAGCGCTGAATGAAACAATTGGAGCTCATTGTGCCAGCGCATACTTGGCCGAATCCATGCGCATTGCCTCACAATACGTGATGCGGATGGTTTTGCTGTACGAGGAGCAGGTTTGGATGGAAGCGCACCACCAGACAGGAATTCATGCCGAGGACACTTCTGCAGCCGATTTGGTTACACGTTGACGCCTCGTACACGACCCCAGGTGCTTCTTTTCTCATTGCAGACGGTATGTGGCGATGCCAGCTGAGTTCAATACTTTGAGACACCTACTCCAAGCGTAGAAATCTCCGAAAGGAATGGTCACACTGCACATGTGAGGCTACTTTTTTTTTTTTTTTTTTCTTGTAGCCATGTGATGTGGTCAAGTGCGCTCGCGTGTTCCGTAACACTGGCCGGATTCACGAGCTTGGGTCAGAGGCTATTGCCCGGTATTTCGTGAATGCATCATCAAGCAGGAATTGGAACACAGCAGAAGTCCTGATTCTATTTTTATGCTACCAGACATGTCCTGCGCAATCATGGCAGCCCGCGTCATCGGCCGAAAAGGTCCCCCATGTACATACGTCCATGTCCCCATCTGGCCGCGTCGTAGACTCGTGGCCCATCGTTCCATGCTCTAGTTATCCAGGCCAGGGCAGTTCTCGGACACAATGTCTGTGATTTCGCTGTAGGGATACGGGTCGATCCATATCTCGTCGAATCGTTTCTTGGGGTAGTCTTTGACGTTGTCGGCTCCAAGCGCCTCGGCAATGTCACGAAGGGCCTTGTGCTCCCAGCTGTGCAAACCCAAGTCAGCCAGCCATTTCATGGTCCAAGGTATTGACGGGTTTCGTCCAGGCTCACCAGATCAGGATGTTCCCAGCGCCCTTGTAGTTCTTGACAACCTTCTTGACACACTTGCTGTCATTGCGGTCGCACGACGTGTCAACCTCGAGGCCGAGGTCCTGTGCCAGTGGCGAGACGGTGTCGAATGGGCGTTTTCTCGAGCCGTCTAGATGGGCGCGCGCATTCCCCGTTAGCACGGCCAACCATCCCGTATACATGGCGCCATGGTTGCGCGGCTGGTTTATGCATACCTGGCTTGTAAGCCTGGGCCATGATATGGCCAACATGATAGTTGGATCCAGCTCCAAAGACATTCCTCAAGCATTGAGCGCGCTGCTGTCCTTTGATGCTCAATCCTGGCTCGTCGTCATCTGCGGGTTTCTCGCCATGTCGGATCAAGAACACCATGGGTTCCGCCGCGACGACGCCGGCAATCAGAGTGAGGATATAGGCAATCTTCATTTTGTCCCAACGGTGCACCTTACTTCTCCACGAGTCCACATTCTTGCGGCGGCCATCTGACAACACTTATACCCAGTTCCTAGTGCCGACCAAGACATGCCAAGTTGAAGCCTCCCACGCTAGAGCGTTCGGGTTTCGCATCGACGGGCTATTGACTGGTTGTCTTCCGCCCCTCGGGTCAGCCCGATGGATGCAATAGTAAGATCAGCAGGTACACACATCAGCCACCCTAAGTCCTTTTGGGGACCGATCCTAGTGCTGACCGAGCTGAGCATGCCGCCTCGGGCGCTGGGAAGATGACGGCGGGGTGAACTCGGGTGATTCTGGCGTCCAGGGACCAGAACATGGGAACATGTTGGGCCTCGCTTATACTGTCTAGGGTTGCAGTCATCTAGGATGCATGAGACTATTGATTCAGCGAGTGTAAATAGTGCAGCTTGTGTGCGAATATCTGTTCCTTTTCTCCGCTGCCTGTTAGGATCTAAATGTCCTCACTTCAAAACCTTGGAGCAACTTCTCATCGCCAAAATGGCCAGTTCTAATAAGCCACAGCCCTACGACCTGCGGAATGTTTCGTGCTGGAGCAGGGAGGACATGGCCAAGTTCATCAAGCTTCTCTTCCTTTGCTGCATCATCACGGTCATCTTGCAGCGCCCTCACCATTTGGTCTCGGATCGTGGCCCAAGTCATCAAGCGCATCGTCAGTTCACGCCCAAATGCCACAGCACCAACCGCAGGATCCAGCGTCGCGCCAGAGGGTGAGGTTTGGCCCCATGGTACCTTTACATGCCCGGGGAGGGTGATGAGTTGGCAAGGGTTCTCCGACGCTCCGTATGGCTCTCGTCCAAGGCTCATGCCTCCGCAATGCCGAGTTTGTGGCAGCACAAAGTTGATTGTCTGCAGATTGGGCAGGTAGAGTCTCAGCGACCGCAGAGCATGCTTCCACGTCTCGTGCATGCTCGCTTCCGACTGGAAGACTGCTATGTCCCGGAACCACGCGCGCCATTCGACCCCTACATGTTGAATCTGCTCTAGGCCCTCGACCTGGTACACGGGATCCCCGCTTTGTCTTTGTATAAATCGTCGCTGGTTGCGGTCGATGTAGAGCATGTCCCGGTCGGGGTTGAACCAGGCCTCGGGGCATTTGGAGAGAAAGAAACCCCGGCGGAGGGCGGCGGCTCGTGATTCTCTGCACACTCGTGTGGCTACGGGATGTCGATGCGCCATGTGAAACGTGAAGCGCTTGACGCATGGCGGGCCTCGTTCCGGGTACGTTGTGATGGAATCTCTGACGTGGAATAGGCGACCGGGCGGCAAGGTCGCTTCCCAGACGAGCTCGCGGATTTCTAAAGGCAGGCCTTTGAACTGAGGAATCATGTTGACTGACGCGCATGCCGTCATGTTTCTTCCATCTTTGCAACGGCCCGCCATTGTTGCTTGGTCTGTGTCGCAACTTCAAGGTTCGGGTCGGTAAGCGTTGTGCCACACCAGCCAGCGGGTTGTTGAATCGGACGGCGGCCACGGCTTTGCTTTGGGTCAAGTTTTCGATGCCAAAGATAAGGAGGGCTTAAATACAAGATGCTGAGCTAGTTTGCCTTTGGCGCCTGTCCCCGATTTTGTGTCGCAGGCACCTGGATTTCTGGTGGTCGAGAGCCGCGTCGTCCATGTTCAGCCCCAGGCACCCATATTGAACCAACCATCCATTCATGGGCTCCAGGAGACTGCAACCACGAGGCGCACTCGCCTCTAGCTAGGTGCCCGAGACCCTGTTGGGCCATGTATGTATGCATGTCTTGGGCATGTCCGTTTTGTTTTACCCACCCAGCCAGGACGGACTGGTTGAGTGAGTGAGCCATGGCCATGCATGATGACGGAGTAAGGTGTGAAAGCGTCATGGGTCTCCAGCCATGCGTAACCCAGTTGGCGCTCGTGAGCGGTGATGGGCAGTCTGTGCAGCCCTAGATATACCTGTCAATTGATCCCTTTGAGTGTGCGAAGGTGCAGTTTGGAATGCGCGGACAAGGCTCATTTCCAGAGGCGACTGGTGAGAACCAGATTTATTAACATTTTCGATTTGCTGAGAGAGCGACATCCCATGACCGGATGGGGACTGTCTTTGCGACAAGCCTTGTTCACTGATCAACAACGATGAAAGAAACAGTAGGTTTGAGCATGGAAGTAACCCGTTTCATTAGCTGTTCCAGAGGCACGTGCATTACCTTTTGCTACAGAGATCGGGAGACATTCCGAACAAGGTAGTCCTACTCTTGTACCTGGGAGGTTGTTCCAGTTGTACACGGCACCTCTGGCATATATTCTGCCTCGGCAGGCCAGAGCATCCGCTCTTGTTACAAACTCATGGACGTTGGATCTCGTTTGCAGGAGGACGAGAGCACACTCTTCACGTGGCCAAGATACACATTAGCTTTGGGCACCAAGGATACGGCGCAACAGCCAACAAACTTTGACAATGGTGGGGGAAGATACCTTGAGGAAATGCACACCGATTACGATATTTTGGAATTTCTCATTACGACATACCCTAGAGCGCCAAAACAATTTTTTCTCCAAGTGGCTTAAGCAGCTGGCTCAAGTCGACACAAGTCCCCAGCAAGGTGACGACACAATGGGAGCACTCGACGTCAATGAGACTTGGCAGAAGCCTCTAGATATACCGTCTATTCTGAATTTCTATTTCACCCAGCGCCTCACAAGCATTTAAACGTCTCTGGCAGGGCTGTTACCGGCGAGAAATGGATGGCGAGTCGCCTCTTGCTGTTGCGACTCCATGACATTTTCCCATTCTTTACAGGCAGTCTTGGCGTTGCGCTACTATCAAAGTTCTTCAGAGAGCACCGTCTTATTTCGGAGGTAATCATTCCTAAAGCTTTCGTGTTTGGACATGCAGACCCGACGAAATCATCCATACACGCCAGCTCTTGCCATTGGCACTGTCTATACACAGGTGCAACGGGATAAGCAAGCGGACCTCTCAATGCTGAATCGCTATGAAGATTTATTTTGGTGGGGACATGTACCAAATATAGCGCAAAGAAATTATATAGATACGATTAAGTATTGTCTTCGAGTTCTCACAGTTAAGGGGGCCTGGGAACCTGGGTTCGTAGAGTCGATGGCAATCTATGCTCGGCTGGTCAACACCACCAAGTTGAAGCCCACGATTCTGGATATTGACTCCATTAGCCCCATGGTAGCCAATGTAATATTGACAATTGTGTAACATGAAGACAACTGGATAACGTTTCGTATTGGATACTTCAAGCTTATTCATCAGCTTTTGAGGAACACGAAGAATATTCGCAAATCATTCTTCATCTAAGCTTAGGGGTGAACAGGTACATAAAATATCCAGGAGTAAAATAGCAGGATCAAGTCGCTCATTGAGGCAAAAGTAATTGTCAAAATACTAGCTACAGGCAGAGCCAAATTTCTGTTACAGGATCAAAAGCTTAAAAGATATCTTGTTCGATGGAGGGCCCTCCACCTTTGCACAGGAATTTCAAGTTTCTACATGTACGCAATCGTGTTTGGTCGATATTGCGCGACGGTGTGTCTAATAGACTCTTTGTAATACTCCATGTCACTCACGTGCTATCCCGAAGAATCTTTCCTGGCACTACTTGCATCTACTATTCATAACGCTGTGATACGTCTTGATGAACTCTGTATAGCCGCCAAACGATACGGCAAAGGGGTTAATTGCAAGACGAACGATTCCTTGGGTTCAAAAGTATTACCCTGTATGCTGATGTTGGCCATGTTCCCCGTTCGATGCTGTATCAAGTGATGGAATCAGTGAGAGTACTAATAACACATTTTGATGGCATGTGACGTTTAGGCCTGATGCGCGGCAACAGATCTGCAAAACAAACTAGCATTCTCATTTTCGTGGTAATGAGCTTGCTTCTTTGCGCCTCATAGTTTCTGCCCCCGTCAGCCATAAATGGAAATTCGTTGCAAAAAACTTGGCGATGCAACGGGTTGTCTTGCAAGCTGCAAAAAGCAAGAAGGATTTATTCTTAATAAATACTGAAAGCATTTTTCGGACATGGCATCACGTCCAAGTCTGTGGCTGTGCTCCGCCAATTATGTGAATTGATGTGTAAGTTGTGGAAACTGGTAGCGCTCAAGATTTCGTTTACTAACGCCACGACTCCAGGGCTTTATACTGGGCAGGCAGATTGCTCATTCACACGGTTCCGGCGCCTCTCTGTTTCTCCTCTGATGTCCATGTGCCTAGGCAGTCCAGAACACCAGTAAATATACGAGATCCAGAAAAGCCCATCAGGCTGGCTGGTCGAAACTGAGCCTCATTGCCGTGAATTGCTTTGAATGTGACCAGGGATTTTATTACGACCTGTAGCTACGACGAGAGAGTCTAATATCTTTTCATGTGGCTGTTGGCTGTTCAAACATGGCAAAAAATAGCAGAGTCTTCACCTAGGCATGAACCGTCACCGGCATGCCCCAAACCTTCATGAATTTCCTATTCATCAATGATCAGACCACTATTATCTCGCAATGTGAATCCAAGCTCGTCTCCTTCACGCTTGCCCAACTTTTGCACAAAGGCAACGTATATGTCGGCGATGCGGCGGCACTCCACACCCTTGAAGGACCAGATGCCCGAGAATTGGGAACAGTACTTGTAAAGGTCCTTCTTAAAATTGTCGTCGATCCGAGTCCTCATATCGCTTGTGAAGCGCTTTTGAGCTTTGGTGTTGCGGTAACCGAAATCGTGACGGTGGCAACTGGGGATGAAGTTGAAGCCGTCGGGCTTATCGGGAGACCAGGAGCAATTGTCAGAGGACCAGTTACAGCACGAAGGATCCTTGGCGTTGCGAGATTTTTCGAAGATGCCGATGGAGACTGCAAAGATGGGATTATCAGTAACAGCGCTGGTGCAAGTTGCGCGGTTCTCCAAATGGTGAAGAGCCTTGGTGGGAGTGCTAGTAGGTAGGACTGCAGTGGTGGCCACAAAGACTACTGCAAAGATGGTGGAAAGGGCCTTCATTGTAATGATGTTATTTGGTACCAAAAATTATATTGGGAAGGTCAAATCAAATTAGGAAGCATGCACATGGTAATGGTATTTGTAAGAGCGAGTCCTGTCTGTTCATGGGCTCAGCAAGAGTAGCCAGAGTGCGGGCGCCGCAGAAGCCCTGGTAAGTGGGAGAGAATCATTTTCCAGCGCAGAAGGGTGTTCTCGTTTATTTTCAGGCTTCCTTTCTTCAACTTCGCAGCGCTTTCCTACAAGATGATGGAGCGATAAAGCTGACGGCAGTTGGGGAAGCGGCTGGCGCAGTTCAGTGTTTGGAGCGTAGAAGATACTGCCGATTTGACTCACTTGTCTGCTACCAATTGGGCGGGGATTGTCCTCGGGCTTACGTATGATGCTGATGGCCATTGATTGCATGACTTGTGTTGCCCATCTCGGTATAGTCTCAGTACTGGAGCGTCTTATTGACTAGTCAGTAGCTCTCTATCTATTAGTAGTATTTACCTGCCTCTCTATGGTCACGTACGACGAAAGTTGAGGAGTTGAAAATAGACGACAGGATTATGCCTGGATTTATGTGGTGGGAAAATAGACTGAATGAGAGGCTTGGAAGCTACTTGGTTATCTGTTCAGGAAGCCAAAACTAGCAGACACTTCGACGCCGCAATTCTTCAAGGTAATAATTTGAGGCGACGAGTGCTTTTCCATCCGGGGCTCGAGTTACATCCTATAAAGAGACGGATGTTAGCGCGTATTAAATGAACGCAAGGGAACCAATGCTGTTGCGTGGGACGTGCCTATCAACTGGCGTAAGACCTAGCAGTCTCATTCCATTTTCCAAGACCTGACGTGCGCCTTCATAAAGGCCAGCCCGACTAAGCATCACATCGCGGCCTTCATTGGTGCCAGTAACTTGTACGACGTCATAGCAAGACGAAAGTTGATGTGTCAGCCGGAAGAGATATGTTAATATGGTTGAAGGCTCCAGGTTGCGCAGTGCAGCGGCGGCCACGTCTGGGTACTGAGCAATCAGACGGAGTAAGTTGACGCAGTGTGGTGTGTCCGAAAATTGCTCCTCCAGCGACGTTGGATGGCGAAGGCAATGCTCCGCAACCTCTTGACGCGTGAGGCCGGCCTTGCGAAGAATCGAGTTGACGCGAGCATGACTATACTGCAGGTACGGACCAGTGTCTCCTTCAAAGGAAGTCATGCGGGTGATGTCGAAAGGGTAGTTGTTGATACGCTTGCCGGACATGTCTTGGACCATAACGGCGGATATGCCAACAGACTCGGCCACTGATTCAGGGTCCTCCACCTGGGCATACTTTGTAGTGTTTCGACGCATAACGTCATGCATGGCGTCCCTAGACTGGTCAAGTATGTCACCAAGGAGTTGAACATTGCCTAATCGAGAAGACATGCCCAATACCTTGCCAAAATTTATGTGTTGCAGTCGACCAGCCAAGTCAGAGCGACCCATGAGCTCTAATGTTCTGAAAACACGCTTAAAGTACAGATCTTGCTCGCAGGAGACAACGTATATCATCTTGTCAAAATTATACTTGACTTCTCGCTCAAGAATCGCTGCCACATCCCGCAGAAGATAGGTGGTGCTTCCTGTGCGTCCACGGACGACAGCCGTCCCTAAGCCCTTGAACCCGTATTCTTCAAAGTCAATGATCCATGAGCCGTCGTGCTCCTTGTAGACACCTTTTTTCTTTAGTGAGCTCTCAACCGCGTCCACTGTAGTACTCTTGACTTGAGACTCGCCAGAATATTCGTCAAAGTCAATGCTCAGACGTGCATATGTTGCGATATACCTGTCGATACTTATATCCCTAAATCGCTGCCAGAGTGCAATGGCGTCTGTGTCCCCTGTCTCCATACGGCGAAAATAGGCGTTTCGCTGGGCGTAGAGGCCTCTAGATTCGATTTCGGACGTATCGCGGCCCTCGGCGCGGGCTTTTTTGCTCTCCTCTTCCTCTGGCTTGAACAAGGCATTGATTCGGCGTACACGTCGAGCAAGTGCTTCAGTGGCTCTTGGGCCAGCAGCTGTTCGGAGCCAAAGCGCTCCCAGCCGACAGCAAGCAGGCCAAACTGTTTGCCCCAATCCCCTAGGTAGTTGACCTTGGTGACGTCCCAGCCCATGCTTTCATACAAGTTGGCAATGTATGCGCCGATAATCGTGCTTCGCAAATGGCCAGCGTGGAATTCCTTGGCGATGTTGGGTGAGGAGAACTCAATGATGATTTTCTTTCGTCTCTCTGTTGGGGCAGAAGAATCAAGGCCCATGGTCAAGTCACGCCCATACGCCTCATGCCTCTCAAAAAGGTAGGGCAGGATGAGGTGTGACAAGGATTTCGGAGTGAAGAAGAAGGGAAGATGGATGGCACTTGCTGTTGGGTGTTGGAATAACGGTTGGTTTTCTGGGAAAGACGCGGCCAGCTCGACGGCGTGAAGGTTTGGTTTTGGGCCTTTTAGTCGCAATCGAGGCACGGGAAGTACCAAGTCCCCGTTGGGCAGGGTGTTTGGTAGCTGGATGGACTCATAAATAAGGGTGGCATCACAGCCTGTCAAGTTGGCTAAAATATTGGTGAGGAGAAGGCGGTATATGTCGGTTGGCCGACTCGGAGTGTGGGCGTTGGGAAAGTCTGCGCAAAGTGACTGGAAATTATACACGCCGATTTTGGTGAGCAACGAGCCAAGGTCAGTCAAAGTCAATGTAGACATGTTGAACGTTGCAGTCGGAGGATTCAGCGAGGGTGATGGAAACACATGGCGGACTGACTCTTTCAAGTAGATGTCGCACCTCTTTGAGTCAGAAGTTTCTGGTTTCTGATGGGAAGAGCAGCGCGCACGTGATCCCGGATGAGTCACACCTGCCTGGGCTGTGAACATGCAACATTGAACATTGCAACAGACGGGTCACCAACACATGCACGTATATTTGTGCGACGCACGTGCTGAGAAATCGCGGTTTTAATATACCAGACTGTACATATTCAAGCGGGTGACATTGCTCGGAATACATGCGGGTACTACTAATTCTTTTGGGTCCAATGTTTGCTGGTGCATGTGGGTACTGGTCGTGACTTGCTGGCTTTGTCAACGGCGGTGCTTTGGGTGGCTCGCCCACCAAATGGCACATTCAGTCCCGCACGCATGATGTTGAAACAAATAACCGCCCAACTTTTCTTGCACGCAGATGGCCAAAGACACTGCGTGCGCTGCCTGATTGTGCGTGTTTCAGAGTTCCTGCAGCAGCCGTGAACACGGAATGGACGGCATATGGATTGGCCAGCGCAGCACGACGCATCAAACCGATGAAAGCGCTTAGCCGCCGTCGCGACAAAGCCGCCCATTCAGCGCAAAATGGTTGGCTGCCATGGCCAGTTTGCTCCTAGAGTCGAAACACGACCTAAAGCGGCCGCCTTTTTGTCCAGAATCTGCACCACTGACCCTTTGTCAAAAAAATCCTGCTCAAGGTATTAAAACGAAGCTTGTCGTGAACAGCCGTCTTGTTTCTTTTTCTCACCATTTCTTTTGTCTTGACATTGACTGCCACCTGTGCGCAGGAGCTGGCCTTGACGATTGTGTTTGTCTCTTATTTATACACGACGCTGCTGCTGCTACTGCGTCAACCAGGCTCATCCTCAACATCGACCAAAAATCCTCTTGTACCACAACCACCACAACCTTTTTTCTTTAATTTTTTTTTTTTCAATCATCCAAAGGAAGCACAACCACCCAACACCATGCCAAAGTTCACCAGCACGTTACAGACGGCCCGGCAGGTGGTCGACATTGCCAGCGCTGTTCGAGGCGCAAACACGAAAGAGGTAGCCCGCGGCGTAGGTCAGATCGCCTTGAGCCAAGGCATCGAGCGCGGCAAGGACGTGAGCAAGACATATGTCAACGCCTTCGAGATGGTTCCCCGGCTCGTCCTGCGAGGACTACAGCTCGTCCTCGCCCTCATCATCTGTGGCTTCTACGGCAACCGGCTCAGCAGCGAAAGCAAGGGCGGCGAGGGAATCGGCCCCGTGTGGATGTACGGCGTCGCCGTGGCCGGCCTTTCTGCAGTGACGGCCATCGTCTTCGCGGCGGCGGCATCGCTCGGCGCCATCCCTTGCGTCGGCAAAGTGCTGAGCTCGTTCCAGCCATACCTCCTTTGGTGGTGGGACTTGGCGCTGTTTGTTCTGTGGATGGTGACATTCGGCATCTTTGCCGGCTTGTTCTTGAAGAGGAAGAGCGACGACCCTTATAGAGGGAGCAACACGACCGCCATGAAGATTGCGCTTTGGATAGATGTTGCCAATGCCGTTTTGTGGTTCTGTTCAGCCGGTTACTCGGCCTTCAAGCAGTGGACGGAGAAAAAGGCGGATCGTATGGCGCACAAGCTGGGGCAGAAGATATTGAGCAGCAAGGAATCATCTCCCGCCTAGGGCTGTGTCGGTTCTGCATGGCGCGGGGGACTTTGTGTATTTGTATATTGTCAAGTCAATATTGTGCATCGCATACAGCACGCTGGTTGGGCTGTAGGAGCATTTTTGTTGCGTTCAATGTTGAGGCGCGGCATCGGGATCCAGTGTGGAAATGGGAGCCATCATTTGTACTAGTAATTTGTGTCAATACATCTAATCACGGCCATGTGTTGCCCAGCTTGAGCCGTCAATAACATGCATGTGCCCCGTGCCACCTTCCGTTTCCTGCAACGCCACTGCAAGTCGGCATAATGGGTCAACTGGTCCATGCCGATTAAGTCAAGTTAGCGTTGTGGTGGTGGATCAACGGCGAGAGCAAGCGGAAGGCGCTTTAATGTTTCTATTGACTACTAACAACAGCACTGGGCCTGCATAACTGATGTGCCGGGTTATTCGGCCCCATGCAACTGCAGATCATGTGTCAACGGAACATTTGAATTGATGCAAAATTTTCTAGTATTTCCACTCCACAGCACCGGGGCCAGGTTTCATTTCCGTGCCAAGCTGGCTGCCATCTACATCCTATTGGTAGATATAAATAATAAGCCTAAACCTCCCAAGAATTGTACGTCATCGTCATGCATGTCATTGCATGTCGCCGCGCTGTCGGTTATCGGACATTTGGATAGACCTGTGCATGCGACGAGGCCCACGCAATGGCAAGGTTTTTAGAAAGGTTGTATGTGTCTGATGTCTGATTGACTTGATGTACTCGCTGGGGGGTGTCATGACCCAAGCCACGTGATGCATCTTTCCATATGAACCTCTGGTGATGGACTATGCTATGAACAGAGGAGTTGGCGGCGTGTCGCAAGAGAATTTCGCCCGTACGCCCATGTTATTCCATGATATTTCAAATACTTTGGGGCCATCGTATGAGTCATGATACGAACGTCGTGTACCTTGAGCCGCGGAATCGTGCTATACACGCTACTGGTTTGCGCCGCAAAGGATGGTTTCGTAAACGCTCTCAGACCTTTTCCGTGGAATTACATTCAACAAGGTCGCGCATAAACACCCGACTCTCACTTTTCAAGTGGATATTCTTGTAGTTTGCATTGACACAGCAGAGCTGGGCGGCAGCGCTGCGCCAAGCAGCAGCCACTGTCATTGACTGATACGATGGCGATTGAGCTTGGTGGACAGAAAGAAACTCGTCTTTATCCCTGGTAAAATGAAACTTGTATCCATTCGCATCATTTTCAACTGGGCAGTGCATCATCCATCTGACCAACATAGGTTCCTGCATGAGTTCCAACCCCTTATCTGATATACACACGTTCCTCCATCCGTTCTCACCCTTGTACGTTCAGCTACAAGTGACCTGACAGGCAAGTTTATGGGCTGACCAAATGAGGAAGGTCTGAATTGTATATGGACTATCCTTCCTATTCCCTTGTTTCCTACCGGGCATTGCTGTCCGGGCAAAGAAAAGGGCGTGTGCAGGTAGGGGAGCGATCCAAGGCGGCATGGCGCGCGAGGTTCGTGTGACTAGCTACCTACTTAGGCAGGTATCTATTTGTGCTCTTTTCAAAGTTACGCAAGGGTGTTTGGCTTGGATACGAGGGAAGCATACGGGTCAATTCAATGCAATTTGATGCTCATGATTTGCCACGAACTAGCCCGATTTGGCCAGCGCAGATGTCGGGCGCAGCCCTACCGGTAGTGCCGGACTCTAGTACCGTCCAGGCAAGAGCCTGCACATGTGAGCCGGCACTGGGGCCCCTTGTGACTGTCTGGTTCAATGTTCCATGTCAATCGAGCATGGAGACAGGTTCCTGTGTCGCAACAAGCACGACGTCTTCTGGGTCGGGCGTAGCCCAGGCCACAACACGAGTTGCCGCGACTTGGTGATGCCTACGCGTCCCTTGTCCTTGCTTCCTTGTTTCACGTCTTGGTATACATGTAGATGAGAGGATAAATAGTCTTGTAAGCTGCCCATCCAAATTATTGCGTTACAACTTTATCGACAGTAAGCTATCTTGTCTGGTTCTCTTCCACAACCCTCCCCCTGGCAACTCACCTACGATATCTCGCTACAATGGTACGAAAAGTTGTTACCGCACTGGCCGTCGCGCTTTCCGCCATTTCGGCAACGGCAACAGCCATCGATAAGAGGATTGTCGGCGGAGAAGAGGCTAAAGATCTAAGTCAATACCCATACCTCGTCAGCGTTCATCCAATGGGTGGTTCGTACCATTTCTGCGGAGGCATTTTGTTGGACAGCACTACCGTCCTTACAGCTGCTCATTGCCTCTACCGGCCCGTAAAGTGCCTTGAAAAGCCGGAAGAGTGTCAAGGCGACGTCTTCCTCGTGAGGGCAGCATCTCTGGTAAACACACTCCCCTTTCAGTCATCAGCTTATCCTCTTAGCCACCAAGGTGCCCTAAACCGTTGGCAAATGACAAAATGTTGATCAGCACAAAGCTAATTATTATACAGGACAGGGAGACGGGCGGAACGGTTTCCGAAGTGGCATCCTTCAAGATACACCCTAGTTACGACGGCCATGTAAATAATGCTTACCCTCACGATATTGCCATCTTGAAATTATCCACCTCGATTCAAGAGAGCAGCATAATTCGTTATGGTTATGCGAAGCTGGCAGCGAGCGGTTCTGACCCCGTACCTGATTCCATCGCATTAGCCCCAGGCTGGTAGGTCTGATGGAGTGCACAACTACACGATATAGCCGGAAAAGACGCTGATGTATAGTCAAGGGGCTTACTGGAATTCGGCGGTCCTATGCCTGATAAGCTTCGCCAGGTCTATGTTCCTATTCGGGCTCGCGATAGCTGTAAAGACGCCACAGAGGCAATGGTATGCGCTGGGGGGGATGGCAAGGATACATGCACCGGGGATAGCGGCGGTCCTCTTATCGACCGGGAATCGGGACAGGTGGTCGGCATCGTGTCATCCGGCGTCGGTTGCGGCGGTACTGGGCTGTATACCAGGGTTGCTTCGTACATCTCCTTTATCAACGAAAACCTTGGGGACAAGGGAACACCAACAAGGGAACAGCAGCTTCAGGACCACTGTGGCCGCTCCGGTAACGACAAAGATGCCTGCATGTTCGCCGCCCGTCGCTGCACGGGCCAAGTCAAGCCCGACGCAACAATGCTGGAGTTTCTCCAGTGCGTTGACGTGATGCAAGTTTGTGGTGAGCAAGATGTTGCGGACAAGACGGATCAATGCATCGCCAACGCGAAGGTGTGTAGAGAGCAGGAGAAATTGCCTTTAGGCGATCTAGACAAGCTTTCTCAGTGTGCGAAGAAAGATCTTTAGGTGGGAAGCATGTTCTCAGGGCCATGCGGCTATGAATAAGTGTCGCAGGCTTCCGCTCTAGGAGGAAGAATGTCTTCAGAACAGACAAAGATCAAAATGTATTTTGAAAATAATGTCACTTCAGCATACATTTGAGATGTTCTTGGGTTTGTCCGATCTTCATGTCGAGTGACTCTAAGAGACGGCAAGTCTGTTGTTCAGTCTCCTAAGCGCACAAGCGCCTCAAGTACCTGAAAATTGGCTTCACATCCAAGTGATGAGTTTAATGCGGTCAAAGAATATTTTTTATATTATTGCTAGCGCTCGACAGTGATTCGAGTGGCGAGTTGCGTTTGCAAACTGGTTGACAGCATTAATACTAGATTTCACGTGCCATGGTCACACAGATTCTGATTTCAGGTCGCTTATGTAGTATACAATGAAATTGAAAACACTTTCCAGCGTCGATTGTAGTTGAAACTCCAGTTCTGAAATATTTGTGTTGTCAGAAATTATGTACTTCCAGTCCTGGGTTACCCTATCACATACCCTACCAATAGCGATCGCGGTAAGCTCAAGCGACTTTCTCGTGAATTGCAGATCCCAGATGCTCCTCGAATTACTATCAGACCACAAATTAGTCCACGACAAAAACTGCGTCAGAAAAGGCTGCTTTCATCAAAGATATCGTGCTTTCTTCGTTGTATGGCGCCTTTTATTTTGCAGAAGCCTGATCCAGCCCGAGAAGTTTACAACCATGAGGAAGAATGTTATGCTCAACAGTCCAATCGTCACCGCGAGCCAGGTCTTGAGCCTAAGATTCATCAGGCCTATGTTCATGGCGAAGAAGGATGTAGTCAAGGAAAGTGGTGCAAACAGGAAGGCCAGAAAGGTGAGTTTGCCGATCCGCTTGGATTGCTCAGATGCATTCTCGACCTTCTTCAAGTTGATGTTGTTCATAAGATTCGAGATGGCATTCTGATATTGCGCCTGCAACTTTTGTACACGTGTCTGCAGATATTTATATCGCCGAAGGAAAGACTTCGCCGGCTGAGATGCTTTGGGGTCTTCCGTGCTGGTAGTCCACCAGCCAATTCGACCAAGAAGCTGATGAAGCTTCAGCCAGGCACTGACCTGTTCAAGTTGCCTTTGCTGTCGATACAATATATCTTTGCTGTATCTTAGGTTGGAGAGCATGTCAAAATCCTCGTAGTGCTCGTTATCAGGGAGTCCGGCTAATTTGTGTTCGATGAGATTGAGAAATTGGTTCACGCAAGCCGTGGTAACGTTAAACACTTCGATCAGAGCATAGAGCGGATCTGATGCCATGAAATTCTCATGCAGAGTTCGACTATATCCGTCACATAGCTGCGATACCGCTTCTGCAGAGTTATAAATTTATTAATAGTTGACTCTATATACTTAAAGGTAAGCTTAGTAAAAAGAAAGCTAATATTATATAAAAAAGGCCTAATAAATTATAAAGCCTAATAAAAGGGCTTTATACTAATATAAAACTTATTAGTTATATAGCTAAAATATATACTTAGGTAAGAATTTTAAGCCTAGGTATTTTTTTTATATATATAAAGTAATTAC